GTGAGAGCTCCTCTGACTGTGTCCGTCTGTTACAAACAGCCTGTGTCTCTACCGAGGAAAGTCAACATCAGAGTCAGTGAAAACACTAGTGTAACCTTAAGCACAGCATCATTTTCATTGGAGGACCACAGAACCAGGACACTGTACCTCTCAGGACAGATAAAACGACAGACAAGCGAGAAAGCAGAATGATGGTGATGTAATCCTGACAGAAAGGATACTAAGCACTCAACGGCAGGGGTGTCAGACAGGGCTATGGTGGAACTGAGTAACAGACGCCATCACAAACAGTGATCTCAGCCACAAACCTAAAATACAAGGGCCCTAGGAAATGACGCTCCTATTCAATGGTGCCATAGTATACGATGATGTTATTTGAAATGTCTACTTTAAAGACAATTAAAGGGACTTATCATAGAGAACAGGAATCCTCTTGCTCTATTGAACTGAAGGAATCAATGTCCTGTGTAGACAGACTCAGTTCACAACACTTACTCCTCAGTCCACTCTTACAGATACTGTATAATAATTCACATATAAATTAATATTCTTTATTCAGGAGCTTGACCCACTCTGATGAGCTACAGCAGAGGTTAGTCAATCGTAACATCAGCCATTTACACACAGAAGCCTTAAATATACAGAATCAAACCTGCCTGATTATTCCTAAGGATTGGAGAGAGGTTTGAAAATGGTCATATATGACTAAATAAAAGGTAAACATGAATAAAAAAAAATGCTTTTATATTTCTAATATAAATAGGGTTATATTCTATACTTTTGCTTTTAATTCACTATTGTATAATGCATAATGCATTGTACATGTGCAGTCAAATCACTTTTAATCAGTGTCGGTGTCAGTAGGGGAGGAGTTTGAGTGGAGGGCCGTTTCTCATGAATATTTCAGTGTCTCCCTTCTTTCCTCAGTCTTTCCTTATCCTTTCCCTATGCATGCACACACGTGTGTAAGTGCTCCATGTGTATTATTCATTAGTATGTGTTCAGCGTATGAGGAGGGGTTTCTCACAAAAACTGCTTTCAGAACAGCTTAACGTGTGTGTGTATACACACAGTATATAAAATATACAATATAAATATATTTTATATATTATGGCAGTAAATTGACCTTGTTCGCACTGAAACATTTAGGACCAGTTAGTAAGGAAATACTTAATTATAATGAGGAGTTATCTATGGTAATTGTATTGTCTCTTATTATGGTCAATGTAATACATTTCATTTTGGGAGACAGATAGATGGATAGAGACTTTTAAAGTATTAATTTGATTTATTTTTTGCAAGCATCCTAAAAATATATTAATATATAATTAATATGTCTGTCATAGGACAGTTATTTGTACCATTTGCTTTAATATATATTTACAGTCAAGAATTCATTATCCATGTATATAGTAAATTCTTGACTGTATATACAGTAAATAAAACTGTACAAATAGCATGTCTAAAACTGTTGTGTAGTGACTGTACTCATAGCCTGATAGACATCATTAATTTATAAAGGCCTGATTCTGTCGTGTGTAATCAGTGTGTTTGGAGCAGTGAGTACGAAAGCTGCTGTGATCAAAGAGGAAAATAAAAACTTAAGTTCAATATTGTCTATTAAGCTTTGGTAAAACTTCACTATTTTATTTTTAAAGAGAATTAGGCTGCTTTCTGTAGTTTGTGCTGAATTGTTTGCATCTAAACGCTTCTTGATATGCAGATGTGTCTGTCTTAGTGTTCCTCACGAGTGACAGGCGCTCCAGATAGAATGTCTTTCTTCTTCTGAAAATGCCTTGAAGTCTCTTGGGAACTTTGAGTTATTTTTGCTGCTTTTAAAGGCTTCGTGTCTTTATTCATCCTGTTGGAGAGCGCTGGGGAAAAAACTGCCCACCTCCCATTTTCATTCCCTCATCCACTCCTGTTTCTTCGTCTTTCTGTTCTCTCAGTTTCGTAAAGCATTTGTGGTTGGACGTTTTGCGTTACTTTCTTGTATGCAACATCTGGAGCATTAATGGTGCTGTATCTGTGGATACTAAAAGTAAAAGGATGCTGAGGTATTAGTGTGGTAGACGAAGGGTGTTGGAGAGCGCTGGGGAAAAAAACTGCCCACCTCCCATTTTCATTCCCTCATCCACTCCTGTTTCTTCATCTTTCTGTTCTCTCAGTTTCGTAAAGCATTTGTGGTTGGACGTTTTGCGTTACTTTCTTGTATGCAACATCTGGAGCATTAATGGTGCTGTATCTGTGGATACTAAAAGTAAAAGGATGCTGAGGTATTAGTGTGGTAGACGAAGGGCAAAAGGTTAATTCCTTTGTGGTAATCCTAAATCCATAGAGGATTTAGAGGAGATCTTATTTCTTTTGTTTTCTTGATGGTACAGATGTGAGTGCCATGGTAACCAAAGACAACGCTAAATCTGGTGAGTAAAAAATGATCTCAACACACTGTAAATGAACAAAAACATGTAATAATGTATCACATTAATAACACTGATAAAAGTAAGAGATGTTTCTTGAGCAGCAGATCAGCATATTAGAATGTTTTCTGAAGGATCATGTGACACTGAAGTACACATGATGCTGAAAATTCAGCTTTGCATTACAGCAATTAATTCTACATTAAAAATGTCATAGCGGCGTCTTTTGCATGTGCAGTTTTTTAATAAAGTGTATACGCCCTCTTGTTCTAGGCTCTGGCGGAAAGACAGCCTGTGTGAAGAAACAAAAGTGTATAATGAACAATTCTCAAAAGGCTGGGGCACTTTACAGGGACCCACAGAAGACTATATTTGAACCCGAACTGACTCTTGATGTCACGGCTGACGATGCTGGAAGGAAAACAAATCCGGTCGCAGTGAACGGTGTTATAGAAACGACTGCCAATGAACAGACGTGTAATGTATGGAGTGTTTCCAATCTCCAGAATCTGAAAGAGATGCAATATCTGCACCACGAGGCTGAGGACAGTCGAATCGACCCGTCACTGGACAAGGACAAGTCATCCCTCATGGGTTTCGTCGACTCCAGTAACCTGGAGAGCTCGGAGGATGTTCAGACCGTTCCGTGCATCCAGGTGGACGTTAAAACGGATGTGGTGCTGATCGATGAGGATGATGATGATCTGTCTCTAAGGGAGAGGACAGTGACGGACGTGTCCACTGTGGACGGGAACGCGGCCGAGCTTGTGTGCGGGCGGCTCCAGTCAATCTCCTCTGACTCCACCCACTCTTTATGTGATCGGCAAAGTCTAGAGCAAGGCTTGACCATTGAGACACCTCAAGAGAAACAGGAGCCGCCCAAAAAACACAAAGGTGCTTGCTGCCTCTGTGTTATCATTTCATGTTTCTCAGAAAAAGGGCCAAGATTATACACTTTTCAAGCATTTTTTTTCTTTAAAATCATTTTATAATGTTAGTGAAAACGAATATTTTACATTAAGTTTTTCATGACCATTTTTATCTCTCTCCTTGACCCTTAGAATTAAACGAGCTTATACTTGACATGGAAATTATTTTACTGCCATAATGTGACATATTTCCAAGTGAAAGAATATTTAATGGGGGTGGGGAAGGAAAGGAAGGACATTTTATAAAGTTAGTTAGAGTTTCTTAAAGCAATAAACAGTCATTAAGTTTGTCATGACCATTTATACCTCTTTCTGACCCCTACATGTTTATTTTGCTACTGTCCTTTTTATGGAATTGTTTTCACCACAGAATAAAAAGAAATAAATGGTAATTTGCAAGTTTTTTATCTCAAACTTCTTTCTCACAATTCTGAGTTTATATCGTAATTGTGACAAAAAATCTAAATTTTTTTTTTTTAAATCGGTGGTGGAAAATTCATTTTAAAGTAAAAAAACACTTTCTGTAATGTGACATTTCCAAGTGAAAGAATCTTTGATGAGGAAAAAAGGCAGGGAAGAACTTGACTGTACCCTATTCATCATGACAACTCTTATTTCAAAAGAGAAAACAACTAACAAAAACAAAACCTGTTTTCCATTTGTCTTCTGTCGGAGTAAAGGCCCATTCACACTATAAAGTTTTAATAATTGTTCTAATGCTATGAGAATATTCAACTATAACGATAACGACAAAAAGGAACGATATCATTGGACTCACTTGCAGAACGATTTTTCCAGCTGATGAATGGTAAAAACACTGACAGCCAATCAGAGTTCAGCTTGCTTTAAGAAGCTTGCACATAAAATGAAAATTAGCCCATAAATTACTCACCCTCAAGTCATCCTAGGTGTATATGACTTTCTTCTTTCAGACGAATCCAGTCGAAGTTATATTAAAAATTGTATTTGATCTTTCAAGCTGTTTAATGCCACTCAGCGGGTGTTGTATGCATCAGTCCAAAACATTTTTGGGTGAACTAACCCTTTAAAGTCACAGACAAAATTGCAGCGCACTTAGATAAACAGAATTTTATTGTGCATTGGTATGGATGCTATAATATAGTTATCATTACAGTTGTCTTTATAGTTATCCTTCTTGGTGTGAACGGGCCTTAAATTTGTTTCTGCTTGAGCACAATTGCTGTGGGTCCGGTTTTAAGGTTTTAAAAGCGGAAGCTGCCAAATAGAGCAAATGTATAGGCCATTTAGGCCATCTAATTTTGATGTTCCTCATTGTTAAGCTGGTGTTTTTCCCATGCGTCTGGCACAGTGTTTTTGTGAATTGTACATTTTGTATGTGTTTGTCTTTTATCGCAGTTACGCTGTAACCGTGGGCTTGTGAAATATTCAGTGCAGAGCTGAGCTTTTAAGATAGCACCGCTGGAAATGGGCAGGTACTATCAACTGCACAAAACCAGAGAAAAAATTTAAACGCGGATTCTTCTAGCTATGCAAACACGATTTCGGTCAGTGGTTGACCGAAATGTGTCAGATTTGCATTATTATAATAAGCACACTCTGCCTTTAGAAGCACTATAGCTGCCAGTAACATAACTTAGGTTTATTGCTAGATACAGTACTGTTAAAAAGTTTGGGGTTGCAAGATTTTTTAATTTAGTCTCTTCTGCTCACCAAGGCTGTATTTAAAGTATTTCATCAAAAATACAGAAACCGTAATATTCTGAAATATTATTGCATTTTAAAATAACTGTTTTCTATTTGAATATATTAAAAAAAAGTTCCAGTGATGCAAAGCTGAATTTTCAGCATCATTAGTCTTAAGTGTCACATGATCCTTCAGAAAACATTTTTATATGCTGATTTGCTGCTTAAGAAACATTTCTTTTCATTATTATCAATGTTGAAAACATTGTGCTGCTGCTTCACCTTTTTGTGGAAACCGTGATTTAGTAATATTGTACTTGGTAATGAACAATAATATTAATCAGAATATTTAAGTAATATAAAATTGCATTATTTAGTTATGAAATATTACATTTCTTGTTATTATCAGTATTGAAAACAGTTGTGGTGATTAATATATTTATGGAAACCACGATTCTTTGATGAATAGAAAGGTCAAAAGAACAGCATTTGTATGAAATAGAAATCTTCTGAAACATTATAAATATCTTTACTGTCACTTTTAATCAATTTAATGTGTTCTTGCTGAATAAAAGCGTTTATTCTTTAAAAGAAGCGTTCTTTAAAAGAAAAATATCTTACTGACACAGACATTTGCAGGTAATTTTGTTACCAGTATATTACAAAGCATAGTACTGCATATGAAATATTGTGTCCCACAGTGCAGTGCACCCAATTTGACCTTCCTTTGCCAGCGTGACAAATGAGCCCAAAGTAATATTTTTACAATTTTTTGACAGATTTTTTATTGGACTGCCAAAAACATTTTAATGCATAATTGGTTTAAAATGATAAACTAACCGTTTCTAATGCTTTCAGTTATCTTGCATGTAATTACGTTGCAATATTACATACTACTTTTTGAAACCTTTAGCATATAGCATTCTGTTTTACATACAGGAACTATTCAGTATATACTGTGCTGTATTCATTCAACACAGACTAGCATCTCAGACAACAAAACTTTTCTACAATGCCACATATTCTGTATGGTGCTCATGAGCGGCATCTCTTCATATGGCTATAATGGTGTCTGTTTTGTATGTTTGAATAAAAGCCATTAATATGTTCACAGCTCTTGCTCTTGAGTCATGTGCACTACAGTCAGGTGGAGGAAATGGTTTCTCATCTCAGTGGAGGTTTCCGGATGAATTGAGAGAGGGTGTGTGTTTTGTTGGGAGGGGTTGCCACGTGTGTGTGTGTGTGTGTGTGTGTGTAAGGAGGGTGATAGGGCAGAAAACGCTTATCTTTAACTCGCCACCCTCCAGAGTTGGCGCTGTAAATGTGTCACGCTTAGGCACTCAGAAGTGTATTTGTACTCGTCATGACCTTATGAATGTTATTGTTGTTCTTTAGAATAATTGTAAAAAGCACTTCATTTGTTTTATTTGAAGTAGGTTATTCTTTTGTGCTTCAGAAATATGTAGACCAGAACTTGCACCTCCCAAAAAGGTAAGACAATTAATTAATTACTATCCATTATTATTATTTTTTAATTTATAATTTTTATATACATTTTTCATTTTATATAGGCCTATATATATTTTTTTTTTATTAATGTTTTATAATATTTTTAAATAGCATAATGTTTTTTTTATAGATAGCTCATCAGCGGAAATTAATGATGGGTGTATTCACAGCAGTTTGGCAGCCTTCATAAACAGCAACCAAAAATAGCAATAATCAGCATGTGGCCAGTGATGCGTCAGTTTCTGTGGCCATAAGAATGAGCAGGTTCCCTCTCTTACAGAGCGACATTTAACTGAATGTGTCAGCGCTGAGGATAACAGACGTTCATTACAAACCGCACAGAAAGCTGAGAGTAGATGTGCTTGACCTCAACTAACTCATTCACCACTATCAACAGAGTTCAGAATGGAGGAGGAGGGTCTTTAAGGGGAAATTAGGAGAAATGTGGAACAGAAGTTAATTTTATATATATATATACAGTAATATGAATACATAAATGTGACCCTGGACCACAAAACCAGTCTTACGTGTCAATTTTTCGAAATTGAGATTTATACATCATCTGAAAGCTGAATAAATAAACTTTCCATTGATATGATATTTTGAGTTCCCCGGAACAGATGAGAGAAAAACAGCGATGACTGTCGTAGAAGCGGCCTTATGCTTTCTGATGATTCAAAGCATCTTTAAAGGTCAGTATCAAACAATTAATCACAATTTGCAAATATATTTTTAAATACACAGTCACAAGAGATTGGAATAGAATTATATAATCCTTGAAATAATACAATTATTGATTGACAAAATTGTTTTTTTAACATTATATATTGTACATTTAGTATATTTACAGTAGATCCAATGGAGCCCAAACGTTCAAGAGTTATTATTATGTATGGTTTGTTAGGCTAGGACAATATTTGGCCGAGATACAACTATTTGAAGATCTGGAATCTGAGGGTGCAAAAAAAATCAAAATATTGAGAAAATCGCCTTTAAAGTTGTCCAAATGAAGTTCTTAGCAATGCATATTACTAATCAAAAATTAAGTTTTGATATATTTACGGTAGGGAATTTACAAAATATCTTCATGGAACATGATCTTTACTTAATATCCTAATGATTTTTGGCATAAAAGAAAAATCTATAATTTTGACCCATACAATGTATTTTTGGCTATTGCTACAAATATACCCCAGCGACTTAAGACTGCTTTTGTGGTCCAGGGTCACAAATATTATAAATTACAAATTATACTATTGAAAATCTTTAAAAATATATAATCTTAAAATTATGAACATCTAAAATTATCTAAATATAACATTTTAGAAGTTTGCATGTCAGCTTTCTCATTTCAAAATGGAAATGTTAATCCAGGGTTTTCACTCTTCTCGGATATAACAGTAAATTTCAGGTTTTAATCAGGTTTAAAAAATCCCAGATGTTTTTTATTTTATATATACAGTAATACGAATACTTAAATGTAATGCATTGCACATATATGAATAAATATTGCTAAATCTTTTATACTGTATTATTGAAAGTAACATGCATTTAAATAATTGTAAATCTAACATGTTAGAAGCATGCATGTCGGTATGTATTCTCATTTTAAATTGGAAATGTTAATCCAGTTTTTTAACTCTTCTCCTCAGACTTAAGAGTGAAGGCAGACACAGTGGATGTTTGTGCCTCTTGCCATCAAAACGCCACCTGTGATGATAAAACCGACAGATCTGGGGGGAAAGTGTGCAACTGCATGTATGGGTTTGTCGGCAATGGGAGGACTTACTGCCAAGGTTTGATTATCCTGAGAACTGTTTAATAGCTGAGCAACCCTTTGTGATTGATCAACTTATATTTTATATTTGTTTTAATACAGATAAAGATGAGTGTCAGCTGGGTAAAATCTGTGGCGATCACACCAAGTGTCACAACACATATGGCAGCTATTACTGCACCTGTCTCACAGGCTACAGCCCATCCAATCACATGAACACATTCATACCCAATGATGGAACGTACTGCCATGGTGAGCTTTCATTTCAGTAAATGAATGCACTTGTAGAGCCGTGTCACTCGAGCTCCAGCACGTCTTCCTCATAATGTTGTTGTTTCCTGACTGAAACACTGGAGGTGCAGAGATGTTGCAGGAAGGGTGTGAACATGGTTTTGCAAGTGATATATCCTGAATGGCTTAATTTGTTAACAAGTTCTGCAAAACGTATTGCACCACTGTGGCTAAACAATGTTAAATGGGAGTTGCTTCGAGTGTGAATGTGTGAAAATACATTAAAGGACAAGTAAAACACTAAAAACTGAGAAATCTACGTCACGGCACAATAAAATAGTCATTTAAACTAATTACTGCCACATTTTCTTACAATTTTAGAACTTTAATCCTGTATTGCTTGGACTTTATTCTCATAATCTTAGATTTATTGAGTGATTTACTTTTAAACGGCATCATAAAAGGTCCTGTTATGGTGATTTCAGTAGGAAACATGCAAGCAGTAATTACGTGGTCGAGCCAAGACCACCAACCACATAAAGTTGAATTGATTGAAACATTATGGTGATTCTTTTTGGCAAAGTGGTTTAAAATGGAATGAGCAGAATTACTAACAAACATACATTTTTCTAATTTCTTGACCAGTAGGTGGCACTTTCCAGAAACTGTGCATGTACCCTCAGGAGTACCAAATTTTGTCTTGATACGTGAAAGCGTTGCAGAGATATCTAATGTCCACTTTGGTGTAGACACCACCAAATTTGTGAAACCATTTCTCAGGAACAATTTTGAATATCAAAAAATTTTTTTACAGAAAATTAACAAAAAAAATAAACTTTCTTTCTGCTCAGCCTCATATTCATCTGAGCAAAATTCGGTGAAATTTGAAATTTCAATGTTAAAAAAAAAAAAAAAAAAAAAACTTTTCTAGTACCTTCAAAGCCATGGCACTTAAGACACATACCGAACTTTGTAACAATGTGCCAGTGCATTCATAAAATATAGCATTTTACGACAAATTTTTAAATGGTCGAACATTGGAAAATTAGGTATCAAGTAAAAATTTGGCATGTAAAATGAATCTAAAGAAGAGACTAGTCTCATTATTAAGTTATGAGCAAAAAATGCTTTTTCATACCTTATGACCAGTAGGTGGTGCTGTGCCAAAAATGTGCAGGTACCTTTTGGTTGTGGTTATTATAAGACACACCAATTTTGGTTTAAATATGCTAAAACATTGCAGAGATGTAGCCTCAATTCCACTTTTTGTCAAATTCGTGAAATCATTTCTCAGCAACAATTTTAAATATAGAAAAAAGAGAACTTTTATTGGCTCATGATAATCTGAGCAAAATTTGGGAAAGATTGTACAAAATTTGAAGGAGAAGAAGTGTAAAAACACATTTTGTCGGGTGGAAATCATAAAAATTATGCAATTAGACCCTGCATGAGCTCCCCTGTGGGGCTTGGCCCCTAATAATTTTGAACAGGCATGAACTCCATGATGTTGTTTTTGTATGTAGATATAGACGAGTGTGGTGTGCAGGGGGTCTGTGGGGAAGGAGGTCTCTGTCACAACACAGAGGGAGATTTCACCTGCTCCTGTCAGACGGGTTACACAGTCCAGAATGGGTCAGAACCCTTTAATCCAAACCGGGATGCAGCTTACTGCAAGGGTAAGAACAGAGCCATTGCACTTTACATAAATAAAACCTCTGTAGAAATATCACCTCATTTACAAGAACACTCTCCCCCGGTTTCACAGACCAGGCTTAAGCCTAGTCCCAGACTAAAATGTAATTCCGAGCTGTTTCAATTGAAAGAAACTTGCACCGATTGATCTTAAAATATATCAGTGCCTTTGTTTTGTCTCAAGATG